ATACAGTACACTTACTACAACTATGTACAGACTACGATTCGTGAATAGTTTGATTCAACAACACTACCATAGTCGGAGTTCTTTTCAATTCATATTTGACAAATCTCACTTAGTATGTGTTTGTTATTATCATTTTAGATGGCGGAATTTTGTTTCGTGATATGTCGATACGTGATTTCATCACAATTTAAATCTGTTGAAAGACGATGTGTGATCACGTTGAGTTATCGGCTAGCCCTGTAGCTCCTCACAGGACGCTGAGTGGTCTGGCCAATCTGACACAAATGTGCTACATGAAGCCTGAGATGGATGTTAATAGATACATTCTTTATACCAATGTGTCATCCCAGGTGTAGTTACAGTTTGGCTGCTAAATATAAGTTTTCATGGTTTAGGAAACATTTCATTCTTGATTAAAGCCAATATGTGTAGAATTATAAAAGTTCTGACTTTGTTCCAATAGTATGACAAAAGACACAAATCTTCACTTATTGAACCGACCAAACGCAACACAAAGACTTGTCTGTCTAATTTTTCAACAGAGAACCTATGCCGCCAGAACAATTTGAAACATGCTCATAGAAATATTCAACACATGGAGGCTTAGAAAAAACAAAGTCAAAAGTGTCTCGTCTTTTTTAATACATGACAAAAGTCCAGATTTAAACTTGACCAAATGCTTTGCTCAAACATGACCGCACATTATTTGGTCACAGTTTTCAGGAGCAGGAAATGTTTGTCCGTGAACATTTTTACAGATGTGTTCAATAACCTAATCAACGTTTTTTTTCCAAAGAAACACATCAGCCAATGCAAATTAGTTGTATATGACCATTTTTAGAAGAACGGTTAGTCTCACAGCAGTGGAGCTACAGTGGAACTCCAATCTGCACAGTAATCCTACTGCTACACTCCAGTATAGTTGAACTAGTTGTGTACCAATCTTTTCAGCTCTCACGATCCATGAAAACAAAGCTGCCCACTTTGCTTTATCTGCATGGCTGGCGGCACTCACGCTGATTGCTCTCCCAATCATTTTAAATAAAAAGCTACAAGGGGTGAATCATTTCAAGTGCTGTCCTTAAGTGCACCTTTCGCATCCATTGTAGCCTTGTCACAAGTGCCCAGTCCAGAACAGGATGCTAGAAAAGTGCTCAGCAAAGGCAGAGGTGGTCATTTGTAGGTCTCAGTTCCTTTCTGTTTGAAAATCTGTCTAGAACATTCTGTATTCTGAACAATCTGGTTTGCTTTAATGTGTTGTGCTCTTCGACTCAGTGCGATTGCTTCTCTGTGCTTGTGTAACGTTTGCTCTCAGATTATTCCTCTCCTCTTGAATTTTTCTGCAATAATCCTGACAAAATGTTATAACCAATAGAATGTCGGGTATAGTGTTGACCAACGAAGTTATCCAAGACTCGTTGCGGGTGCTTTCACTTTACTTCTTAGCGTAAGCCTGATGAGCAGAACCGGGTTCTGCCCACCAAGACTTTATTATGTAGCCTACTGCCCTGACTTTCTTTATGACTTTTGGAATCTGTTAGAAAAATTCACTCGAGACAGAGTTGAAACACAAACTGAGTTATGCATCAAGGCTGCTCAGAGGTCTGTCTCTGATATATATGTCTGTCTCTTACTGAGGATAACAGGCAAGTGCGTTGGCACAGAGTAATTTGCATAAGATCTGGAACATCACTTTGGAGCCGTTTCTTTGATAATTTGTTCTGTTATATGGTCACCTTATCCTAATCAGGAAACGTCATGGTTGCAAATCAGCTCAAACATTGATTTGTTCAACAGGTTTATTTTCTCTTATTTAGGACAAACAGCTGAAATGCTCAAGTAGACCAGAGGTCGCCAACATTTTGTGCGCCAAGGACTGGTTTCATGTAAGACAATATTTTCACGGACCGGCATTCAAGGTGTGATGGATAAACACAACGAAATAAAATGATACGATCGGCATGAAAACAAAAATTAAATGCATAACAAATACAACTCACTAACGCTGAATCAGTGGGAGCCCTGAGCTTGTTTCTCTGCAACGAGACGGTCCCATCTGGGGGTAATGGGAGACAATGACACCCGAAGTCTGTTCCTTATGTCCAGTCTACTCCGTAATTTTGTTTTGATTGCCGTCACTGCAGAACATCCTGCTTCACAAAGAGGATGTTTGAAATGGAAGCAGGGTTTCAGTGCTTTTGTGGCGATCTCAGGATATTCAGCCTTGATTTTAATCCAAAACACCAGCAGAGTTGTTGTCTCAAACATACTTTTAAGGCCACCGTCATTTACAATGTCCAGCAGCTGATGCACATATTATGCAGAGTGGGCTTGGCGCGTCAGAATTACTCCTGATATTGTCTGTTAGATGAAGCTTTCATTTTCTTGGAAGTTGTAGCTCTTCTTCTGTCTCCTTAGTGGGCCTTTCCCTCTTTGCAAAGAAGTTCTCAAAGTTTTTTACTGATTTTTGCTAGTTTGTGGCCTTCATTTTTGAGGTAACGTATCATGTGACCGAGACTAGCGTCTTGACATGTGTCAAGAGCCACAGGCGGATGAAATTGCAAGAGAATTTTTTTCAAAATAAAACATCTTTCAGACTCAATAATCAATAAAACGGAAATAATATATAAAGTTATTTATTCTTTCTGTGCAGCCCGGTAACAAATGACCCACGGACCGGTCCGCGGCCCGGTGGTTGGGGACCACTGAAGTAGACAACTGTGCTACCTTAATGGCAAACCCAGTTGAGACACTTGGTGTCAAAAGAAGTTCACACAAACTTTCACATGAGGACACAGGCCTTTGGAGACGCAAAACATTCCTTAGTCATTCGTTTTTTTCCCAACAGTTTGTACTTTTTCTTTTATGTTACACAGCTATTTCTGGATCAAACTTTTTTTTTTTTTTTTCCATTTTGCCGTATGCTGACAAGAATGCAGCGAATCAACCATGTCAGCCAGCTTTTTGAAAGCTTCACACACAGAGCGAGCCATTAGCTTTCTAATGCTAGCTAAAACCAAGGTGGTAAACGCCGCAGTCTGCCCCATCTTCTTAATACAGCCATGGTCTGCCCACACTGAGCTATCTGTATCTCTGTAGCTATAATTAAATCTTTTAGTTTCCTTCCAAGCAAAAACTGAATTTACTCGTGTTGAAAATCGCTCTATTTTCAGTATTAGCCATAGACTGTGTATAAGAAGTGGAGACGTCAACCATTGGTTTGACAGATGTTTTGAAGCCTTGAGTTCGGCGACTAGGCCGTCGCCATCTTGGCTTTTTGCAACCAGTGAACGGAAGTGACCATATTTGGAATGCGGACGAGCGAGGTAGAGACGGCTCTGGCAGTGACCTGTCAATCACAAGATAGCCCCACCCTAAAGCATGCTCCGCTTTATGATCTATTTGACTCTAAATGGACCATAATTTACGAAATGAACATCATGCTGTATTGAAGAAGACTTTGATTGAGACCATAAACTCATGTTTACAATGTTTACTGATGTAATGAATCAAGAGAGAAGTAGTCATTTTCTCATAGACTTCTATACAACCAGAGAAGCATAAAGTTAGCTTGATGCATTGTTAACGTTAGCTCTGTAGCACTCTGCTATGTTTTTGTGAGTGGAGATCTGGCTGCCATGGTATATAATAATGATTGTAAGTGATATTCCTGTTGACTATTAGTAGCATCCTGCAGCAGTCTTAAACTAGGGAAAAAACCTTCAGGCCTTCCTCCTGATAAATATTAAGTGAAGGCATAGATTATACAGCCCAAGCAGAGGTATCTTTGCTGGAGATTCTTTGTAACTGCAGACAATAGCTTTTATGACTGCAACTTTGCCAAATAACAAATTATTCAGTTTTCAATTGCGTCATTACGATCGGCATGAAGACGCATCTTCATTAAAAGATGACGGATAAACAACGAGGAGCACAAATTATGAAAAGTGAATTGGTTCTGTTCGTGTGTGATGACAGGCCTACATTGCACACTGCAAGTTGCTCTGGTGGTCCTCTGACTGTCCTTCAGCAACATGGCCTTGAATGAAATATTTTGTCCTACAACCAAAGTGTCCACAAGTACGACACTGAGCCCTCAGCTCCAAAGCCAACAAATTTGAAAAAAATACATTTCGCTAAAACATTGTCAACATATTTAGCAAAATATATAAAATGATGACAAATTGGGTGGTACGGTGGTGCAGCGGTTAGTACTGTTGCACCCGCCTCGATAACATGTCATACAGTTTTGGACTGGAGTGTGCGGGTTCCCTAGTCAGTAAGATTAAGTTTAAACTCCTCAGCATAGCCTACTGAGTCAGTTATTAGTTAAAATTGTATATTTTATATTATGAAAAATAATGTACGAGCTCAGTAATGCACACAGCATCACCAAAGTAATTGTGGTACAATTAAGCAAATCACCACAAACTAATTGTCACCCTTTTGAACCCTGACAGTCTTGGACCCCATGTGCAGTAGGCCGCTTCGCCCAGTTGGCAGTCCAGGTTTGCTGCGGGGCCACTTCCATCATGTGAGTTGTTTGAGATATTCTTATAATAATTTTTAAAAAAAAGAAAGAAAGAAAAAAAGAATTCAAAGCGTAGATTCTGTTTGCCCAAATACATGTGAAGATTTTGTGTTAATTACGACTGCCAAGAAACTCTTCTTAGAAATGTACTTGGCAGTCGGGGGGAGCGCTCGATCTGCTGTGATTGAAGAGGAAATAATAAGTAATTACACTGTTTACATATCTTGACTGGCAGTCACTGCTACACTGTCTTTTGAAATGTATCACCAGGTCTGGTAAAGTGTACTGGAATAGCAGATACAGCTTTGTGACATTTAATAATTAAGTGAAATTATTATTTTTTCCTGCTTTATACATTAGTCCCTGAATGTTACTGCTTTAGCAACGACTCCCGACTGATGCGTTTACAGTTGGGAGACATGCATGCAGCCCTCCTCTCGGTCCCCTCCTCTCTGCCTCTCTCTCTCTCTGCCATTGGTTAACACGAGGCAGACTCACGGGATGGGGATGATGATGCCTCTAAAAAGGGGGGCAAACCTCGGAGCCCGCGTCTCTCCCGCTGCGCACACACGCGCGGCAAAAGTGAAGTGAAGATGCTTCTTCCCTCTCGGCCGACAGTCCAGCTCGTGAGCCGTTCACTTCTTCTTCTTCTTCTCCTCCCCCTCCTCCTCCTCCTCCTCCTACCAGAGCGCCGAGCTGTCCCCTTCCCTGGTTTACTGGAGGAACTTGCGCGGCCGGGCTCGTCCAGCTCGGAGGAGGCGAGGGGAGGCGCCGACGGAGCCCCGGAGCCCCGTCAGTCCCGCAGCGTGCCCGTGGAGAGCCACGCGTCGGTATGGGTGCACTGACAAAAGGACGTTACCTCTCCGCGAAGGGCCTCCTGCTGCTCCTGGTTTACTGCACGGTGTCAGTGATATCCAAAGGTAAGAGCTGCGTCCGCGCGCGTGTATGTGTATGCGTGGCTACCAAAAACATGTAATTATATATATATATATAGGCAGTCTTGTTGTGCCATCCCCGTGGTTACGCACCACTTGTCACGCTTCTGTCGCGTTTGTAAATGTTTTTGGATGTTTCTGAAGGTTTGCAAACACACCACTGTAGTAATTTCATTTCCCAAGCGTGCGCTTTGATTCATCCTCGGGACTTAATGTTACTGTTTGAAGCCCCCCCCCCCCAATGCGCAGCAGAGCCTCAGATATTGATTCGTCAAGCCACAGCTCACGCGGTCAAGTTTATCTTTCTCATAAATCGATGTTAATTGTCCCATTTTCACTCTGTTCGCGCAGTCTTTAATGAATCCATCATCATGAAACGCGCTGCAGTCGGCTCTAATACGCGGGCACGCCTGTGCAACAGGCATGTCAGCGCATTTTTATTTTGTCTTTAACTGGGAGTTACTGTGCTGCTTCTGTTTTCATTTGAGCACGATCCACTCCCTGATATCATGAACTGGATGCAGTGTCAGGGAGCATAAAGGGGGTGTATGGAAGGCTGTTAGTGCAGGGCGAAGGGACAGGCGTTCATGTTGAATATGAGCACTAAATAAGAAAAGCATTGACACGTTAAAAACGATTTTTAAAAGGGGCAAGAGGGCTTTTTGATACCATGTGGTTTACATCAAGGTAAGGTTTTACACATTTTGTTGGTAACAAATGCATGTAAGGTGGCTGTGCCCGGTGGGAAGCCTGTTGGGGATTGGGCATCTGTCCCAGTTTGATCTGGGCTATTTACCAATGTGGACTGTGGGATTGTTTTTCACCTTGTCAGTCTGAGCGTGTGTCATCGTGGCAGAACGTGGTCCTGGAGGCACCAAATGTAGGGGGAAACTACCACAGAGGCTGGTTTGAGTACTTTGCCAGGCAGGTGGTGTGTGTGTGTGTCCATCATCACAACCGGGCAAGATGCAGGCACCTAACTTCTCAAGCATGTAAAGATTAAAAGCAAGGCGGTGGAAGTAAGGGGTGTAGGAGGTGAGGAAGGGGCCATTGGCCCCCACACTTTACTCCCCTGCTGGTGTTATGCCATCTCTAGTCTCTAGTTTTGTTTAATTTTATTTTTTTAGGTAGAACGAAAAACTGCTGAGTGAAGCCGATGTGGAAGTGATTTAAAACTTGCATTCTCTCCACTGACAAGCAGAGTTGCAAAAAGACGTCTGATTGTATAGAAGTCTATGAGAAAATGACCCTACTTCCCATTTGATTTATTACCTCCGTAAACATTGTAAACATGGGTTTATGGTCTCAATCTCTAGTTTCAAGTCGTCTTCAATACAGCATGATGTTCATTTAGTAAATGATGGTCCATTTATAGTCAAATAGACCATAAAGTGAAGTATGCTTTAGGGCGGGCTTACTGTAATTGACAGGTCAGTATCCTACCAGAGCCGTATACGGCGTCACTCCTCTGCCGTCCAAATATATTAACTTCCTTTCACTGGTTGCAAAAAGCCAAGATGGCGACAGCCAAATCGCCGAACTCTAGGCTTCAAAACTGCAGTCCACAAACCAATGGGTGATGTGACGACGACTACGTCCACTTCTTATATACAGTGAATGGTTTTGATGCAAAGATGTTTCCTGAACTGCAATTGAATTGAGTTGTAGCCACTGCATTGAAACTCACAAATGTTACAACACAATAATGTGTTTGCCTTTCAGTTATCTGATTGCAACTGTTCATCATTCTTTCTACCGCCTACTTTACCGGCCGTGGCACGGAGCAGCCTCTTGTTACTGTAGGTTATGTGTGAGAGTGTACAGTGATGCTGTTTGAATCTGATGTGATATCGCTGATTCCCCCCCCCCCCCCCCTTGGAGCCACCGTACGGTCTGAACTCACTGTATGGCAGCCACATGGAGCTGAACTGTGCGCAGTAATAGATTGAGGTCACAGCATCATGACTCCATCGCCCATTGCAGTCACCGAACATGGGTGTGCAGAGTCCCCCAGTTAGATGGAGCACAGGAACACTCCAGCTTTTTCATCTAAGTGGTGAATCTGGTGGACTCTCTCTGTCCGATGACTTCTATATTTCGTGTTATTGATGCACGGGCCGGCGTGGACTTTGTGCACCAGACACCAGCGTCGCTCGGCTTTTGAGAGTTCAGTATGCAGCTTGAGTGTGACTATCGGATAGAAAAACTCCCCGGGCAGTATTGTTTTTAGTTTATTTTCATGAAAGGGAAACAGGTGTCTTGCTGTACAAGTATGAAAGTTTGTATAGGCCAGTTGTAAAATGATGTGAAATGTAACACAGAGAACTCAATGCGTTCTTACAATACAGCCATGCATTTAAACCAGTGGCTCCCACCAATTTTTGGCTTGTGACCACTGAAAATCTTCTTGCAAGCCCGATGAGCACAGGTTGCAAACAGTATACATATGAGCCATGAGAAGTTTAAGGCTCCAGCTGTTTATTATTGCACCACCATAAAGTTGGGGGACATTACACGGGACAGATTTAAAAAAGAAATCCTTAATTTTTGTCCCTAGTATCCAGAAACGGTGGAATTCCCACAATGCAGCTTGATAGCATCTTTAAAAAAAAAAAACCTCACAAAAATGGCCACATCTTGTGTATGGTTGTATCAGGTACGTATCCACAGTAAGTGTGTTACCTACAGTAGATGAAAGTCAGCACACCGCCGGTTTGGAGAAGCAGGCAGGAGGAGCACTGCTGTGGACGAGGGCAGCAGCTAAACGTATTTTAAACATCTAAAAAGAGCCCACTTTGACAAAGAAATCAACATCAGTTTAAGTGTACTTTATAATGACAATACTTTCACTGTTTTACCTTGAAGTCAGGCAGCTGTTCTGATGGGGAATTGAAGCCGTTGTATCCTTCCATGCTCGGGTCAAAGCCACAAGACTCCATTGATAAAAATAATAATTTAATGTCGTAGGACGTGATGTTTTTTAATGGAGTCTGGTGGCGAGAGCATAGACTGTATAGCTGCCTCACGGCAAGGTAAACCTGCAGAAACATTCTAAATATAGCGCACACTTTAACTGATATAGAATTTTTTTTAAGGTGGGCCTTTCTTCATTGTGCCTAAAATGTTCTTTTAACGGTACATTTTTTGCTCCCCTGCGGTAACTCTCTGCTTCTCTCAAATGGGGGCGTGCCGACCACCATCTACTCTAGTATACACTGACTGTGGATAAGTATCTCATACAACCCCACTTCAAAACACCCGGACTGTCCCTTAAAGTGTCAAGCCTAAACCCTAATGATGTCATTAAACTATCCAGAATGTCAGCAGAAAAACAAATATTAGAGAATGTACCAGCAGTTTATAATCCACCTATAATTATGTTCCACTGTCTTATATCAGGTCTGCACTAAGAGCTTGTCTTTTTCTGCCTCCAGTCAAATTCAGCCTTCCGTTTCCCAGCCAATGTTGTCAGAAGCGAAGTTGTGGAGTTCAGCCTTCAACAACTAATTCCCAACATACAGAGGCAGAAAGAGACACTCTAGACACGAGGTTATGAATTTACAGACAAAACACGGTGTGTAAGAGGACACCTGCCAAGGGCGAGAATACTTTATTCAGCATCTCTCTTTACAGCCAGCTGGGAGATCCGTGGATTTGCAAATGTGGAACCTTTTTTTATGGCAATAAAAAATAAAACTTAAAGTGCCACCTCAAATAAAAATCTGAAAAAAATCATTAGGTGTGAGATTTCTCCTTTGACCCCTTTGTGGGCCCAGACCCCCTCACCAGGGCTGGTCATCCAAGCAGATGTGAAACTGTGCTCTCAGTAAATACTGTATACACTCAAACAGTTTCCTGTTAAATTGATTCAATAGCATAATAAATTGAGGGATTACAACACCCAGAAACACTGGACTCTAAACACAAACTATGTTTCTCGACTGTAAGCCAAAGAGATCATGAGCAGAGATTTCAAAGAGGCAAAATATCTGACACTTGTGAGTCAGATGTAAGTCACATTCCTTGTTTTATTCAGGCGTTAATACAAAACTCACGGGTTTATCATTATATATGACAGAAGACCCTCTTGAGAAGTTGAAATCAGAGTGTTTGCTTAAAGAAATGCTTACGATTGCGTGGATTATCATTTCCTGTTGATTGACGAATCAATCAACTAATCGTTATCACTCTCGAAGCAGCCGCTTAAAAATCCTCACTTCATGCTTCCATCGTGTCCACAGGGATCAAAGTGACATCGCGCCACCTCCAGCTCCTCATGTGCAGCGCCGACACCTCCAGTGTCGCCGTGTCTCCGCAGGTCACGAGCCATAAGTGTAAAAACAGGTGTGACACGCACCAGAGGCGGTTCCGGCCGCAGTGGGACTGGGCGGCGCTAGCTCGCACTCAGCCAGGTTTAAGCTGTTAAGGATCAACGGTGATGTTTGGCGAGACTCACGCGAGCGGTCCTGAAAAGGGAGACCTCCCAACGTGCAACACAGCGGTGAGTGCGCGCGGCATGGCCCAGAGAGAAACTTCAAAAGGCCATTTTCAACCGTGCTTCACAGGACCGGTCATGAAACGGATTTGTTAATAAGATGCAGCTTCCTGAGCTGTGATAGATCTGACTTCCTTCCGACATCGGGTATCGGCTGTTACCTCAAACTATTATCTCCTAATGAAGCCCTACTTAGAGATGCGGAAAGGCGACCTGAGTGCACTGATATGTAATATCCCCTATAACCTGGCTGCCGATGAGGCTCCCGTTGATTTCCTTTGACACGTGGGCGTATTTGCTCGGGACCTGATGATTAATTTATGTGACGTGTGATTTAGCAGAACGGCTGTGTGTAGTGTGAGAAAAAAAAAGTAATGAGGAAGGGGATTATCCCATATTTGATTGAGGATGGTTGATGTCACCCAGTTCATTTGCCGGTCACGCCACACGCTCTGCTGTGCGTTTCCTTAATGCCGGGTACGAGTCCAGG